TCTTTGAAGAAAAAGATTTTTCATATGTTTACTAATTGATCGACAAAAATTTCATTCATTTTTGCCAGGTGAGTGTAAGTTAGTAAATAATGGTTATACCAGGAATTATGAGGATAACAAGAATTAATGGTCTTTCTTTCTTGCAGAGCTCCATGCAAGTCATGTTAGTTGACCATTCTCTAGTAAGTACTCACATTACATTCCCCTTACAAGATTCTGGAATTGTTAACTCCGATACTGTTCCAAAAAACTTCTTGAAATTATCAAAGTTGCATTCTTCTAGACACCTACTTGGAATACCGTGACGTTTTTATTTCTTCGTCCTTCTATTGACATTCGTTTCCTGAAATTTGGTCATAAGAGGGAGTCCCATTCGCATTCAAATCTCTTGGCACGTCGATGGTACATGGAGCTGAAGCGTACCACTACGATAATGAAAACAAACTGAAGGATGCAACTAAAGAATAATCACGATACCTTGAGAGAAATTTTGCACGATGAGAAAGGATGGCGGATTGCATGAAAATGAAAAGTGAGAATTAGTGATTGTTATTTTGAGGTATAACGTAAATCATAGATATCATAATTAATTAAAGATATAAACTGCTGGTTGTTGCCAGGTGGACATTGTGGCGGCATCATCGCGAGGTCTGTCTGACCATTTTATCAATAAGACGCAAAAGAGTGCCAGATCGCCTGGCAACTGTCCGCGATTGATTAATCAATGGAGGACACAGACTCAAAGGTCGAAACACAGCAGGAATATCCCACAGAGCAAACACAGGCAGGGGACGGCATCAGCGCGAAAGCATGTCTCTATACAACCAGCAACACTGCATCAAATCAGTGCACCAGACACTAGCGCTCCGTGCAGTCTGAAAGGAAAATCTAGAAAAAGCACTTATCTTGTATCGACGCCAAGCAATGATTGATTTGGATCGCCAGTCCCATATTATCAAACGAAACTTCCGGTGATGTTACGTGTAGGCAAAAAAGTCCTCTGCTGCGCGTTAATTTTAAACCCCCACTGCGTCCCGGATGTGACGTCCCGAATCTCCTACTACTACGCGTTGAATGCAAGTTAACAGATACGGTCTGCTGGCGGCAGGTGTTTGATGACTTAACTTCATTACGTCGTTGCAGGATGTTTCAGCAGAACTTTGAGAATATTTGAAAGTATATAAGTAATGCCCGCACAGCATAGTCTTACATCAAGCCCAGCATATTTTGCATTAACCTTCTATTACCTTTTCTGGTAAGTTTTCTGGAAATTTTATGCGATTCTCCTAAAATTTGGCGAAGCCCCCCCCTTAAAGCAATACCCTATGCCACGGGACTATTTATATTAGATGTTTGAGATTGATCACGGGAAAAAAATTTTCTCCTCCGCGACTATGTTACTCCCCACTGCGCGTCTTCACGACTTGAAATACCCTGGTAAGACAAATTGCACAAATTGCACAAATTGCACAACTCATGATAAAACTTCCTACTTACAAGAAGATTAAAGCGTTTTGGAAAAATGCAGAAATACCTTCACTCAAGAAGTTTTTAGACTTCCGTTTGTGTGTGGGCGACTTAAATGATGAACAAACAGAGCACCGTCGGTACAAAGCTGAACTAAATACTATCAGTCAGTACTATGATGAAAGTTCTGATATTGGCCAGAAGCTGATGAAATGGAAGAAAAGTTTCAAGGAAAGTTGCATGTTGATTTTATATTTACAGCTTGAGTTGTTCTATTCCCGATCAGCTACCCTGTTGACCACGTCTTGGCAGTGGGAAAGGCTGTGTGCTTGCTGACGAGCATGCCATAATGGCGCATTAGCATTTAGAACAACGCACTACCTGTTCCGTCATCAACTACCTTGTCAACCTGCGTCTTGGCAATGGGAAAAACTGCGTCTCTGTTGATGAGCATGTCATGACTGGCATGTCAGTGTGCAGTGCAGTGTTTCAATGGACTACCTTGCCAACTGCATCTTGGCAACGGGGAAAACTGCATGTCTGTCTGTTGTTTCAGGCTGGTAGTCATGATCTAGATAATTTTTTTGTATTAATTATCACTTTTTATTTTCTAAAACAGATAATAAAAAGTCGAAACAGGTGGAGCTTTTCTGGGGTTTGCAAATGAAATGGGAAATGCTACATATAGAAAGCAAGATCCTTGAGGAAGAGGTCAACTGCACCAAGTAAGTCATCTAACAAGAGTATCGTTGAGGTCAATTAGACAATATTAATATTAATTTAGAAGGAACTACAGGAGAAACTTTGTCTCAAAGAGGTAATTAAGCTCATTTGATGCTGATCTTAATTTTAACATACTGATAGTCCATTTTAGACTCAGCAAATTCTCAATGCAATGCAAGACATCTGAAAGCAAGATCATTTGCTTCAAGAAAGAACTGCCAAGAGAATTGAAAGGCATCCACTAGGAGATTTCAAGAGCTTTCAAGAGCAAGCAGCCAGCAATTGGATGGAAACAATGTTATGAGGAAGAATTACCTTCCACACCAACAAGCCAGGTCAGTACATACTGTAACACTGGTCGAAGTCCAAAAAATCAGATTCTGATTGGTAAAGCATCATCAGCAGTCAAGTAGTCATAATAAACCAACA